TGTAGTTCAATATACAAACACATTATATATACAGTGTATGCTAGTCTATTTATATTTTCCCTTTCGCATATTAAGTTTGCTTGTTTGCGTCTGTTGTTGCGGATGTCTTTAATTTATTTGGAATTACCATTAGTTGCAAAGGCATAGAGCAAGACACTTTAGGGCTGGGTTTCCTAATCCAGGTCCTCATGATACCAGTATTAGATGGTTATTGTTCTATCTGGGCTCTTGATAATGTTCAATTGGAGGTTCCATAAAATAAATATGTTTTTAGGAGAGGAAAATAAAAAGAAGTTGGTTTACTCAAAGTTTGAATACATTCAATGCTCCAGCAGAGCAACTGAAAGTCCAGTTGAAAGCAAACAGAAACCTTTGAGGCTTTGAGGAGCAGGACTGCTCAATCCCTGCATGGGGAATACAGATACCTCAGATGAACCAAACTCTCCCAACCCAAATGGATCTTGGCCAATTTCCTTGTGGCCACTTAGGAATCTCCAGTCATACCTGAATAATAACTTTACTGCAGCTCTGAATACAATATGAACCCCCCTGTTGTGGTACCCGGCTGTTCTCATAGACGTACCTTGATATATAATGTACTGTAGTGTGAGCCCAACAAATTAAGGACTTTCAATGCCAATTTAGTGAACAGAAAGGGCTATTCCTAAACTGAACTGGTAAATTAAAAATAAAGAAAAGGACTGCAGCACATTCCTTTTAGCTGCCAGTCAGTTCTGGCGTGAACACACATCATCCATTGCATTTCCTTCAGTGTCCCTTGGCTGCATTGGCAACCTCAAGCTTCCCCCTGTCCCTCCTGAAAATATCCGTAACAGTCCCACTCTCAGTGTGCCTCCATGCCAAATATCAGGCAAGGAAATGCCAGCCGCTACGATATTACTGCATAGTGCAAGTCATATTTATTCTTTTCACATTCCTTTCCCATATTGGCTTGATTGGAGGAGAACTTGTACTGTTATGTATAAGGTAGGAAAAATGGTAGGTAGGAGTTTGTAATTTTTCTTCTTAATACATTTCCCTATTCTAATATAGAGTAGCATTTGTTTTATGTAATGTACATACTGTATATTACAAAAAACTTGTTGTGTATATACAGTACATAGATATATACATATACATATGTATATATACTGTGCCAGCGCTGACCGCTTACCTTCAGCTTTATTCCGAGTTACATTTTAAATGATGGATCGACTTTTTTTCTTGCATTGGCTTCCTATTGAGTCACTTCTGCTGATGACAGTTTACTGTGTTAAAGCAGCATACCATGTGACATTAAAGACGTAACAACCGGGACAGTAATCGTGAGCCCCCAAGGAAGAAAGGGCTAATGGCTGTGGAGGTGCAACCCAACAATGGTTTGTGCTTGGCATGCTCCTCGAGAGTTATCCATCATGCAGTCCCTGAGGAAGTCATGAAAGCACCAGCTCTTGGCAGAGATTAAAGGGTCAAAAACGTGACTGAAGTAGAGACAAAATAATCTTGTGATAATGTGGCAGCATATGGCTATTGAAGAAATTTGATATGGCTGATGACCAAGTGCACGTACAAGCAAAAAATCATATCTCTCTCATTTACAGTAGCTCTTTATTATATTTTAAATCACTACTACGTGCAGATATTTTAGATCTTCCTACAACTTTGATGGACACACAGTAGAAATGGTAGGCCAGGGTTTGCCTTGCCCTTTTACATCTCTAGATTTTGTGGACAGCAAAAACCAAAGTTTGTCGTCTCATCCAGTTTACATTATGGAGTATTTTTCCAGTTAGTTTAACTTAGTGATTTAAGACTATTCTATTCTATTCAGCAGTGCTGAAGTGCTTGACTTATCATTCCACTGAGACATAATTTGCAGTGAATGTCTGTAAAACAGGTCAGTTGTAAAAAACAACCTTATTCTGCCTAAACATCCACCGAGAAATGGTGTCATGACTCATAATGTTACCCCTGGTTTGAGAACATTCAATTCACAGTTTGTTTCTTCAATAAAAATACATCAATTCTTTTTTGTTGTTGGGCCTTCTGCAGGCCTTCAAGTATTCATTCTGGAGAAGCCTCTTCTGCTGAAGCCTTGTGTACTTTCATTCTTTCATTTTTTTTCAGTGTAGAAGCAAACCTTCTTGATGCTCCTTATGTTGTTCCCCATTCTAACCCCTTAATGAGAACCTCAGAACTCTCATAGTTTTCCAAAACTATTCAAGTTGCTACATTTTCAGTCACCCTCAAATTTAACTACATGTAAAATGTTTCTGTATACTGTATACATATTTCTAAACTTCCCAATCGGGCTGGAGTTCCATGACTTGCTGAGACAGCTGAATAGCTCGGTTTTGAGGAAGAAAGGAGCCCTGGAGATCTGCATGTTAAGGCCTGTCTATTTGTGAGAGCAATTGCTAAATTGTGTTATGCAAACCGAAACTGGCAAGTGGCTTATTTATTCATACAGTAGGTAGGAAATA